TATTCATTTCCAATGACTCATAATTTGGCTAGGACTGTTGTGGTGAAATTATTACAGTTATTTTATTATATCAGCTACTTTATTCATATCTTTTATCACCCAACGATGCATCAACCAAAAGCTTCCTATTTTGTATTTGTATCCTGTATTTTGTATTTTGTATATATATATATATATATATACAAAATACAAAATACAGGCAAAAAAAAAGTTCGTCAACATTTCGGCCAATTCAGGCATTATCACAACAGAAGAACAGCTAATCGAACATCACTCCATGAAATCCAAATAATTTTTATTTTATCCATTTTTAATCTTTATTTATTTAATGTTATTTTACAACATATTTATAATTTTTGATTAGATACGGCATAATTTTGATTATTACTTTGTTCCTCATATCAGCTGTTTGATGGTAACCTTCCCTTGCTATGTTATCTTACCTCCCTTTCAGTATGCAATTGAATTTCAAAGAGTGATGTTCGATTAGCTGCTTTATCTGAGAGAGAGAGAGAGAGAGAGAGAGAGAGAGAGAGAGAGAGAGAGAGAGAGAGAGAGAGAGAGAGAGAGAGAGAGAGAGAGAGAGAGAGAGAGAGAGAGAGAGAGAGAGAGAGAGAGAGAGAGAGAGAGAGAGAGAGAGAGAGAGAGAGAGAGAGAGAGAGAGGAGAGAGAGAGAGAGAGAGAGAGAGAGAGAGAGAGAGAGAGTGAGAGAGAGAGAGAGAGAGAGAGAGAGAGAGAGAGAGAGAGAGAGAGAGAGAGAGAGAGAGAGAGAGAGAGAGGAGAGAGAGAGAGAGAGAGAGAGAGAGAGAGAGAGAGAGAGAGAGAGAGAGAGAGAGAGAGAGAGAGAGAGAGAGAGAGAGAGAGGAGAGAGAGAGAGAGAGAGAGAGAGAGAGAGAGAGAGAGAGAGAGAGAGAGAGAGAGAGGAGAGAGAGAGAGAGAGAGAGAGAGAGAGAGAGAGAGAGAGAGAGAGAGAGAGAGAGAGAGAGAGAGAGAGAGAGAGAGAGAGAGAGAGAGAGAGAGAGAGAGAGAGAGAGAGAGAGAGAGAGAGAGAGAGAGAGAGAGAGAGAGAGAGAGAGAGAAGAGAGAGAGAGAGAGAGAGAGAGAGAGAGAGAGAGAGAGAGATGAGAGAGAGAGAGAGAGAGAGAGAGAGAGAGAGAGAGAGAGAGAGAGAGAGAGAGAGAGAGAGAGAGAGAGAGAGAGAGAGAGAGAGAGAGAGAGAGAGAGAGAGAGAGAGAGAGGAGAGAGAGAGAGAGAGAGAGAGAGAGAGAGGAGAGAGAGAGAGAGAGAGAGAGAGAGAGAGAGAGAGAGAAGAGAGAGAGAGAGAGAGAGAGAGAGAGAGAGAGAGAGAGAGAGAGAGAGAGAGAGAGAGAGAGAGAGAGAGAGAGAGAGAGAGAGAGAGAGATGAGAGAGAGAGAGAGAGAGAGAGAGAGAGAGAGAGAGAGAGAGAGATGGTGGTTTGGAATTTGTTCAATAAAAACCTGACATTTATGTTCTGTCTTTTGATTATTTTGTTACAATTCTTGTATATGGTGGTGTAATTCGTGGTGTATGCTTATTATTTAAATACATTTGTTAAATCAAACAGTGCGATCGAATAATTAATTTTTCCGTTCATCTTCTATGGTAATTATTGTAGGAAACTTTTTTGTAGTTTACCATACAGTAGTATCAGCTGCTCAAACTAATTTTGTCAATTAATAACGCCGAGGAAACTCATCAATTGGTTAATTACGGGGCTTTCATACAAGTTTAAGGGGATGACAGATGTTGGACTGTTAATAGAAATGTATGTGGATTTATTAATATGTTTATCTTTGTAATTTTTAAGTTTATTCCATTTTTCAACTAGTACAGGAATAGGAACCGCTTTTAATAAATAATTAATTGAAATAACTTAATACACTAATTTTACTGTCACTCTATTTCACAATTATTTAGTTGGTTGTATATGTATATATATATATATATATATATATATATATATATATATATATATATATTATATATATATATATATATATATATATATATATATATATATATATATATATATATAAAGTCCTCTTTAAATGGTTTTAACAATAATAAACTCTATGCTCTTTTAAAGTAAATTTCATCTTGTTTACAATGAAGCAATTATTAATTACTTAAATCAAATATGTTTTAGTTATTGTTTTCGATTCTATAAAAAACATGACTCACTTATAAAACCACAAAATTGCATTTGCTACTTTTCTGCTGAAAATTGGCCAATTGTTTGTATGAACTTTAGGGTAGTTCTAAAGGTCGTATTATTTGAAAAGCCTATATTTTGAAAACTACTTGTTCTATTTGATCGAAACTTCGAGGAATTTTTGAGAATAGTATACAAATTACCTAGTGTGAATTTCATTGGATTATATTTAATAATTAAAATTAATATAAATAATTCTTAACAATATAATAGCAGTTAAATGTGAAAGGCACTGATCATATGGAGTGGAAGTTATGTTAAGAAGATATTTTTATGGGGGTTATAAAATTATAGGTTTTATTCAAAGAGTTAATTTATACTGTATTGATTCGTCGATTCCAAACGTTACTGGCATGATACTTACTGCCGTTACTTAGATTTCGTGTAATTTTCAATAAATCTTAATTAATATTTACTCTGACTTTGTAAGAAAGAATAATCTTATTTGGGATTATGTTTATTTCTATTGAAGTTCGACTAGCGTCGTGGTATTGAGTTTCGGTGTGGATTTTACATACATTTTTAAATTCCAGCTTAAATAGTTTTGTTCTGACTGAAGAAAAGTATTGGTATCGTTAACTGAAAAACCAAAAAGTTTAGTTTTTCTTATGCATGTTTTGTACCATCCATTTTTGGAATGTAAACATACAGATTAAGTACATATTACTACTATTAGTGCAAAAGGTCGTATGTAAACATTTTCAACTTTTTTTTTTAAATTATGAATCATCAAATGTGGAATTTTCGAATACGGCACTCTTTCGCATTTTAATATTAGCTGATAAACGAAATTCTTGGATATCAAACCCGCGAATTTTGAGTCGTAATTGTATTTCCGAATCCGCTTCTTCGAGGGATTTTATTCTCATACGAAAAATTGTATATCTTGTAATATAGATATATTTTAGCCAATGAAAACGGTGAGGAAACTATACTGAACTTACTTGGCAGACGTTTTTCGATAAGAACGTGACATTTATGTTCTGTCTTTTGATTATTTTATTACTATTTTGTCTATATGGTGGTGTAAGTTTATTATTTGAATTAATTTGTTAAATCACACAGTGCGGTCTAATAAGTATTTTTTTCCATTCATGTGCTGTGTAAATTATTGTTGGAAACTTTTTTGTAGTTTACCATACAGTAGTACCAGATGCTCAAACTAATTATGCCTTTAATAACGCCGAGGAAGCCCATCAATTGGTTAATTACGGGGCTTTCATACAAGTTAAAGAGGATGATAGATGTTGGACCGTTAATAGAAATGTATGTGGATTTATTAATATGTTTATCTTTGTAATTTTTAAGTTTATTCCATTTTTCAACTAGTACAGGAATAGGAACCCCTTTTAATAAATAATTAATTGAAATAACTTAATACACTAATTTTACTGTCACTCTATTTCACAATTATTTAGTTGGTTGTATATATATATATATATAAAGTCCTCTTTAAATGGTTTTAACAATAATAAACTCTATGTTCTTTTAAAGTAAATTTCATCTTGTTTACAATGAAGCAATGAATTGAATCAAATATTTCTTTAGTTATTGTTTTGGATTCAATAAAAAACATGACTCACTTATAAAACCACAACACGTGCATTTGCTACATTTCTGATGAAAATTGGTCTATTGTTTGTATAAACTTTAGTGTAGCTCTGCTATCACTGCTGTCAAAATTTTTCTCTACTTACCAGATACCCTGTATAAAAATGTGCCATTTTCAATTTTATTTATTTATAATTATAAGTATGAATAGCTACACATCAAAGTTACTGTATAACAAAAAATAAAATTGTCTTACACACATAAAAAAAAAAAAAAAAATTAAATCTAAGACCAAGCATAAAAAAAAAAAAAAAATGTATATACATACTTCCATTTCGAAGGAAAGGAAGAAAAAAATACAACCGCTGCATTATTCAGCGGTGCCGTAGAAACTTGAACCCGAGAACCTCCTCAAAAATCTTAATTGTTTTCATATCTTTCAATCCGAAAAAGAATACTGTTCTTCATTTAAGCAATCTTGCGTTTATTAAAATTTTCTTACACTCAACATCAGTGCACTGCACACACCTGTGGCTCTTTCCTGAAATTGCCCTCTGGTCAGTAACGTAATTTATTTTTTATTTTTCCCCGTTCAAAGGATTTATTATTATAATAAATTCCTTACAAATGTATATTATGCAACTTGAATATAACATTTTATCTAATAAGCTTAACATTAAATAATTATTAGAAACATAATTCAATTCAAACATAATAGTTAGTATAAACATAACTAAAATAAACATAAATAAAGAAAAATATACACAATTTAACGAACAGAGTTTCTAAAAATTACAGAAGTTATTAATCAGGTATATATAATTGTACAATTTCTTTATAAATTAATATATTGAACAAAATTATGCGTGACCCTATCTGATGTGAGATGATGTTTAAGTGATTTCTAAAATCCTTTTAAATGTAATTACACGAACAATAATACTTTAAGAGATAATTTTTTAATATTTTTTCCATTAAACACGGTTATATTTTACCATTTGGGGGGAGGCAGGGTTCAGCCCTAAAGACTCCCCCCCCCCGTAGATCCGCACGTGCAGAGAGTACAGCTGACAACTGAGCGGATTTAAAGCTCAAGAACATTACATATAACAAAAATAATACGTTTATATAAGAGGACTCTATAAGACGTTTATATAAAGAGGACATAGAAGCGAAACAAAAAAAAAAAAAAATTATAATGGTTTGGAAACTTATACATGAAATGAGAAGCATACATTTTTCTCAGTTTTTTGTCAGTTGGTCATAATATAGACTATTCATTAATTTTGTGAGCTCTTGTCGAAAGGTATTGTACTAGTCAAATTAAAGCTTAAAGATTTTCGTTGTTTTTTTTTTCTAATATTTTAATTAAATTAGGTTTTTTATGCTAAGTATATTCCAAGTATTTATATTGATTATATACCAACCATAATTTAATAGGAAAACTTCATACTATAGAGAACTTAAATAAAATTGAAAAATTAATTTATAGATACTATTCGAAAACAGATCGCATCAAAAATTCCTAAGATAATGCGTCAACGGAGATAGCCAATTGTCCCTCCCCCTGCCTTTTCAATTAAAGCATCCTGCCCTACTCCTCAGTCTGGTGTTGTCTTCGACTGAATAGTGACCTAGTGAACTTATCTCTAAGGATGCGTTTTATTTTTCTATTAATGATTATTATAGTAGGAGGAGTCCTTGGAGGGAAGGGTCGTGGAGGGGGAGGCCGTGGAAGAAGCAAGGGAGGAGGCGGCGGAGGCTGGTTCTTCGGCGGCAAGAACAAGAATAAGGCACCTTCCGGAGAACCCAATTATCCCAGGCAGCCTGCCCCCGAGCCACCTTCTTACAACCCCCACGGACCCTCCGCTCCGGGCTGGAGGCAGCCTGATGCCAGGCCTCCTGCTTACAACCCTTCTTACGGCGGCCCCAACGGTCCTCCACCACCGTACTCCAAGAACGCTCCGCAGTACCCACAGAGCGGGGGCCATGCTCCACCTCCTCCTTATTCGCAGTACCCCCAGCAAGGCCACTATCCTCAGTACCCTGGTCCTGGGAGCTACGCAGGCTATCCCCAGTATCCTCAACACTACGGCGGTGGTGGTGGTGGTTTTGGACAGTTTGGTGGTATCGGTGGTTACGGTAATAGTGGTTACGGATCCGGAGGCTTCTTCGGAGGTTATCCTAAGAGAAGGGGATTCGGCATGCCGGGGATCATCCCAATCCCCATACCGATTCCGATAGGCGGAGGAGGGTTCGGGTACGGGAGCTACGGTGGTGGCTACTACAGGCACAGGAGTAATTCGGAGGTTGTGAGGGATAAAGAAGGGAACATTATAGAGACCTCGGACGACTCCAAGGAGCTGCCTAGGATCATGGCTCCGCCCGACTTCGAGCTGAATGGAGTCACTGAGTTGCCTCCGGACGCTCCAATCGCTCAATGGGATATCGTAGGCAAGGAGACTGCAGCAGAAGAACTCAAGAAACGGTACATTTTATTTATCTCATAATATTTATTCAATGTCTGTCTCTGCGGTTGCTAATATGGACTGTTTGATTCTGCGCAGTTGTCTCCTTTACACATCTAAAACCTTAAAATCCGGGTTTAAAATTTTTACGGAACACCAATTTTGAATTCCATTTTAACAGTTTCTGTGGAAGTTGTTCTTAAAGAAGTAACGTTAAATGAGGAATAACCAGTACTTGATCTTAGGTTAGAGTTACAGTTTATCTTAAATGAATTCCTTGATTCTAATGAATGAATCGTCTGTTACGTACGTAGCAAATAATATACTATAATAATATAATATAAGTTAGACTGATATTTTAGCAAAACCGACAGAACTTTAATTACAGTTTTTTTTTAAAACAAAAGTTCTGTAACTGAAAATTTTCAAGAGAAGAATTTAAAGCTCCGAAATAACAGAAAACAAACGAAAATAAAGATCCCAGTCATACCGAAACTCTTTAAAAATAAATGTTTAAATTTCATTTCAAGCCTTTATTAGAATTTTTAATATTTTTGTTATAACGCCCAAGTTTCTCTATAAAATTCAAATAATTGTTTTCTAGGATATGTATGAAGAAGCTTAATCTCAGAGGTGTTCGATCTGAACATTATTATGTATCATCAGAACAACTCAAATCGTACAAGCTTCTTTTATCGCAAGCACACAAGATATTATCTATAAATTACATTTTCTCTATTATTTGTATATATTTCGTTATTATTTGTATATATTGTATAAATGAGAACGTTTAGCCTTAATACTTATAGCCCTCCAACAGTGGTTGATTGTATTATTATTCAATCAATAAAGTTTATTTAATGCTTCGAGAAAATAAAATACATAAATTGCATTATTAATTTTGTTCTACTTAAAAAAAAAGTATTTTTTATCTTTGTTTTCGTTTGTTATTGTATTTAGTTTGAGACACTTTAAAATATATATCATTATTTTAACAGTTCACCCATTTAGTTTTTACTCATAGAGTTTTTTAAAAATAATGTAATGTTAATATCTATCCAAACGAATAAATCCCTTATGAGTTTTATACAAAAGAGTATAGTGTAGTTTTACTTCATATAATCATTCTCAAATCACAATATACAACAATATTCTGCTCTGTCGAAATATAATTGATATGCTTAGCTCAAAATATTGTTAGATACTATTGGGGAAGAACCGACTTAGCCATTATTAGATCTATTATTGTAAGGAATTATTAAATAATTATTAACAACATTTGCTAGAGGGTGACAAGAAAGCATCGCATAGCTCAGTTAACAGTGAGCATTTGAACCTTTTTTTTTTAAACAATAGTCAGATATTTCAGTTGATGGTGGCTAACTTCAAATATACCAAATTATTAATGCAGATCCGCCTCTCGAGAAAATATATGATAAAAGTCTCAGTTAACTATAAAATTGTAAAAATCACTCCATAACTTGCGTGCAAAATGTGCCACATTATGGAAACTTTGACACTTTATCATGTTTTATTGAAGTGCTAAATATAATATAAATAAATTGTTTGAGAGCAAGAATTTATCAGGTTATGGGAAATCTTAATGGGATGGAAATATTTAAGCCAACCACTACAGATGAAATGGGAAAATAATATTTTGTTCACCTATAATATATCTACAGGTAGATAAATTTAGCAACAGGTAGATAAATTTAGGTATCTAGGTTCTACGATAACCAGAAAAAACGAAATTGAAGAAGAGATTAAGGTTAGACTGAAGGCGGGGAATGCTTGTTATTTTTCTGTGACAAAACTACTTAGTTCGCGCCTCTTGTCCCGAAACTTAAAAATTAGAATCTATAAAACAATTATCTTACCTACAGTTCTTTATGGATGCGAAACTTGGCCGCTTACATTAAGGGATGAGCAGCGTCTTAAGGTTTTTGAAAATAAAGTATTGCGTAGAATATTCGGACCGAAAAAGGATGAGTTAACCGGAGAGTTCAGACGGTTACACAACGCCGAATTGCGTGAGATGTATCCGGGTAATATAATTGAGGTAATTTCATCGCGGCGAATCAAATGGGCTTGTAAAGTTGTTGGGCTTAGTAACAAGAGAATTCCTAAAAGGTTAATATTTGCTGTGCCGAATGGTAAGCGTCCGAGGGGTAGACCGAAGCGAAGATGGGAGGATTGCATTAAAGCCGATCTGAAGGGACTGGGTTTGGACGGCGAACGGTGGAGGGAGGTGTGTAACAAGCGATTGGTGGTGTCGGCATCGAACCTTCGGGTTCGCTAAGCCTTATTATTATTATTATTATTATTATTATTATTATTATTATTATTATTATTATTATATATCTAATTATAGAGATTTGGTGCGGTAATCTTAAGTAGTATTTCCTTTTTATAGGCGAATAAACTGTTAATTTAATTTTAAAATATGATTTGATATTACTATTTAAAACAAATTTATATTTAAATTATTTATATTAACAAATATATTATTTATATTATATTTATAGTTCTATTGTTGCTGTTTATGTGTTCTATTAACAATTTAAGATTTTGTATTGATGTTGATAATTAGCATTATTTTAACTGTTTATTTTTACGAAACATAAAGAAGAAAAAAACAAACAATATAAGTATAGTGATGTTTATAATACAGAGATGGACTCTATGGGTAAGGTGTTCTTTCCTAAAAAAAAAATAAAGATTAAAAAATAATGAATAATAATTTACAAAAAAAAAAATTAAATAATAATCTCAATATAAGTTAAAGAAAATAGCTAGGAAAGTTTTTATGATGGATGTCTTCCAATTATTATTTTTTTTTATAAAAATACTTTTGTATCCTGAATGGTTAAAGTTTCTGAAGTCATAAATAATAATAAGTTAGGATGTTATAAGCTATTTATATCATGAGATTTCAGGAGGTGTAATATTTAAGGACACCGAATCTGAGTAGAATGTTTATCATAGTATATAAAAACCGTATCATGTTAACAAGATTACTTCGCTTACATAAAAACATTTATGTAAAGTTTATATATCCCTCATAAGTTTATATATTATGTAATATAAGTTAATTCTATACTACCTAACATAAATTGAATAAATTTAAATGTTTAATTATAAATTTTAATTATCATTATTCCATAATAAATATTTTGTTAGTAAAATAATTTTATGATTAATAGGATTTTTGTTAATACATACCTTACATTAATTTATTTGTAAAGTTTGACTCACATTCAAATTCAATAGGACAAATATATTTTAAATTAAAAAAATATTTTAATTAATTCGTATGTTATTATTAATGCTAATGACGATTTTTCTCTTTTTTTTCAGAGGTGAAGACTACAGTGGAGAATTCAATGACAAATAAGTGAACTTCAGCAAGATCTGCGATTTATCATATGCAATAAACAAGAATTTATTTTATTTTTATAGCTTTAATATACAATTTTTTTGTAATTGTTTGTTTTCTTATTTTTCTCCCTCCAAGAAAAACATAATAAAATTTAGATAGTTAACAATGAAAAATATATTGATTTTTAAATAAATTACTTTTAAAATAAATGCATGCTTCAAACGAAAATTCTTCATTCCGTAAATTTATATTATTTTTTATTAATTTATGCAAATTTAATTCAGTGTTTAATTGAACTAATACAATTTAAACTATTACTACTGTTTTAAATATTTAAAATTCAAAAACATTTAATCAATGTAAACATAGAAATTGAATATAAATAACTGTAAGTTCTTATAGCTGTAATTGTGAAATACAATTAAAAACAAAATAAGTATGGAATTAAAACAGAATTATTTTTTTCTTTGATTCAGGAAACTATATTTTGTCTTACATGAAATATTCTGAGAAAAAAATATTCGTTAGTGTGTATTCCATTAGAAAAATAATAATAATAATAATAAAATTAAATTTTAATTTTATATCTATCCACCCTTTACAAAATGTTGGGCAAGGTATATTTAAATCAGTTTTGATATATTAATGATTCAAATTATACAAACTATACTCTTTAGAATATAACTAAAAAGAATTATCAAACCTCTTAACGAATAGGCAACAGACGTACACGTTTGTATATCTATTTTCAGTGGCTGAAATTTTTCATACTGTCCAGCAAAGAACAAGCAAAAACTCAAATTAATCAAATTGGTTTGAATTTTTCAATTGGATAAGTTTGAAATGATACAAGTGTTATGTATTAATAATATTTAAGTTATTGGATTAAATGTTTCATGAGATTTAGTAGGCTAGCGTAGGTTTCGATATGGCAACTCAACATGGGTAAGAATGCAGGCAATATGTTTACTTCAAACAACATTAGTGTTTACGTAATTCGAAAACATTCTGTTACCTCTGTAAACCTAGGCCATATTCCATAGTAACACCAATAACATAACGACGAACATTCATTTATTTTATTGCTAAATTTTTTTCTGGTTACATTATTTGTCTTAACAAGCCTATTCCATTTCTATCTTGGGATATTTCTTTCCAGTTATCTGTATGATGGCCTATTGCATCTTTTTTTATTCTATTTGCTTTTTGGGATTTCCTACTGTCGAGGAATTATTGTCCCATTTTAGGCATTTATTATTTATTTATAGGCTCCTCCTATATGAACGTCCGTGCCTTCATACCATGAGAAATTGATTGACCAGTTTCTATAAGCTGCTCTTTATAATTTCTCCATTTGTAAGTATTCTGATCCTAGATCGCTCCAGTTATCGTGTGGAGGATTTTTTTCTCAAATTTTTCAGCACTGTTTTCTAGGGCGCTGGTAGGTGTCCAGGTCTCAGATCAATATATTATAGCTGGTTTTATCATAGTGTTGTACACCCTTAATTTCAGATTTATATACCTTTGAAAGGAAAAAGAAAGCTCTATTTGCGCTTGTTAAACGCTAGGTCTATTTTCGACCGTTAGTAATCACCCTTCTATGGAGATACTGTTATAGGAGTGAAATTTTCGGCTAGTTATCATATATTTTATTTTGTCTTTATTTCCTTGTAGGCCTAAATGCTCTGCATCTCTTATCATAGTCTTAGCGAGTTTTTCAATGTCTTCTTGATTACTTCAAAGGACCACTATATCATCTGCATATCTAAAGATTTTATGATTCATTGAGACGTGGAATGGAGACCCTCCATTCATGTGATGTTCTCATCACATTCTCAAGCTCGATTTTGAACAACATAAGTGATAGTCCGTCTCTCTGCCGTAAATCCATTAATATAATTTATGATAGATTTATAGTAAATTTATTTTTATTTATTTATTAGTTATACATATTTGTGGCTCACAATAAATTTGCCATCTACCTCGGTATTCAGCAAATATGATATCAAGGAGAAGAAATGATAGCATAAAAAAAAAAAATAGTAATAACAAAATAAAAAGACAAAAAAAAAAAATAAAAAATAAAAACCGTAGTAAAATAACAAATACATTATAACATAATAACAAAAACACATACAAAAAAGATAATGCAGCAAGTAGCTCAATGCAATAAGTCTCATGGCCAGCGCCTCAGCAGTCTTCTGGGCGGATTATATGGATTTAATTTAATTTAAGTAAATTTAATAAAGATATATATTGCAGTTAAATCTCTCTATTACATAAATACCTTTTAGTGACTTTTATATTTTATTTTAGTATTAAAGGAGCTCTCTCCTATTAGCTCTATAATTAGCGCTACTTATATAGCTGTTTATTTAATTATATATGTTTTGAGTTCCTGTAACCACATATACTCATAATACTAAATTCATATTTACACCATAGTGTCTTTGTTGAGGTATTAAGCTTCTATACAGCTCATACTCTCCTAATACAAAATACAGATTTTAGACCAAAGATTTGTACGGAAAATGGTATTCATCTGGACGTGGTAGTTTGATTTTATCTTGGTTACAGCTATTCTTGTTTTCGATATAGACATTTTTCCCTTGAATACTTATTAACTTTGATATTTTATATAATATTATTTATATTATATTGTGATATAATTAAAGTTATTGTGAAATAGAAAAGAAAAGCGCAATAAAACGTACAATGAAAATATCATAAATGAAAGGCTCAAATTGATGTTGAACTTTACATGAAGCTGAGTAAGTTGAATATATATTATCGTTACAAACTGGCAATATGAATTATTATAATTGTATAATAATATAAATTGGTTTTTTTTTTTCTTTTTCTTACCCTCCAAAATGTTTATTGAAACAAATTACATATATAGTATCCAATATACAATATATACATGTGATAAATTCCTTCCACTGCCCGAGGGCATATTATTATTATAATAATATAAATTGGCAATACAGAATACATGTATATTACATGTATGCATTTTTATACAACGAGTAGTATAATTAAATGAACAGTTGTATAATTTGTAAAATAGGAGTTATTCCGCCGTTAGGCGGACGAAAAGTACCCTTCTAGTAATTTATAGTAGATTAAAATATGTTATAATAGATTAATAAGATGTAGCAATAAACAAATTAATACATTTTATACTTTGTTTTGTTATTAAAATGAACGATTTATGATTTTGATTTAATGTTCTTTAACGGTTTTTTTTTCTGGTTAGAGTATAAATTCACCTAATAAATTTTTGGACGCCTGAACCAGTCTTATCTACCTCTGTCAATCTTAGGCTGTTTCCTTCCATTTTGTTCCATGCAGCTCTACATCATCTTTGTTAATTCGACCCATTCGTCTATTGGTTTCCTACGTAATTCTTTGCCAACTATTATGACATTCATAGTTTTGTTGATGCATCCTGACGGATTGCTCGGAGTAACGTATTCCACCCAACTTAACCTTCTATTGTTTGTTGTTGTTAATTGGCAAAAGTAGGATTTATAACCTTGTTATCTGGGGTTATCAAATAGAAAACGAATATAAAAACTTGCCATTGAAGTAAATATGTTTTGAAATTTACAATATACGTTTTTTTTTTTATTGTTACTCCCCTGATTATAAAATAATTTGTAACAAGATCACCAAATTCTCACAAATGATTCAATAATGTTACTGATTTAAGAATGGTGTCAGATGTCGAAAGAAGGCATTTCTTGACCCCGCTGTATCAGCCGATTAGGTCATTTTTTTTCATAGCATGGCACATAGATACGGCAGTCTATGTCGGACATGCTTCCGTTGAAAGCTATACCCATATTGTTCTGCTTCTTGTTGATGGTGGCAGGACAACTTCTCAATGAGACAACACCAGAAAACGTGACGACCACCGAGTGCCCCACTGTGTTCCGCTTCGCAGGTCTCAGCCTAAGTGACGGATTGGTATCTTCTTGGAGGGTGATATGCCGGCCTGACAGTGTATTCCCCGACAAAGAGGTATGACCAAAAATTGAATAACACCTCAAATAGGACTTAGAAATGGATGCTAAGCCAAGTTAATTAAGTTGTAGACTTAATTATTAAACCTTACTATTAAAAAAATATACCGTGATTCCGATTCGCATTTAAACTCAGATTAGGTTAGATCTTTGTCAGTTTATTCTGGACTTAACTTTATCCAAGATCATTTTATGTTGAACTTGTCGGATAAGTTTGGTAATTGAAAACTGAACGACTTGCCATTGTAATTATGATATTGTCTTTATTACATTTTTATACAATGTCATGTTCATAGTACAGTTTATTATTCATGTTTTTTAAAATAATAGCGAGAAATATAATATTGAAAGTAGTGCTGGCCTACAACATAGGGTTGCTTTACACACAGCATACCGATCAATTCCTTTGGACATAATTTATACATTACATTATTCTATTCATATATATATATATATATATATATATATATATATATATACATTATTCTATTATTCTTCTTCTTTTTCTTCCTCATTATAATAATAGTCTTATAAAATATAAACTAATAACTATACCAAGTCCACTGAACTACACTAAGCCATCAACATTGCATAACATACATAAAAAAACGCTGCAAATTATTTCACAATGGCTTATTATCTCTAAACAATTATACATCTGAAGTAATATTACCTTCCGAGTTACAAAGAAAAAAAAAACAAGAGGTTATTCCAATTATTGGACTAAACTGTTTTTCTTTAATCATTAGTAATATGCTAAAAAAAAATTGCATTAGTTCAGTAACACATTTAAAATTTAAAAACCAAACAAAGGACATAACATTTGGAGTAGAACATATTAAAAAAAACCGGAGACTATATCTTTACTCCTAATTTTCCGATTTTAACGATTTTTTTTTTTTAAGGAAATTTCGTAAACTTTTAAAGAACTATATACAATATCCCCCCAAAAATATAAACTTTTCGAGTTATTCGGAATTTAATTTTACCATCCCTCGTAACTTTTTTTCCAGCTTCTTTTCGTTGAAGTATGTTATATAGATGAATTTAAAGGGCGTCGAGAAAATGACTTTAGCGAAGTTTCATTGAAATCTGTACATTCGTTTAGGAGCTACAGTCTGTGGCAACGCAGGTTTTTCGGCCGCCATTTTGAAAGTTAAAGGCGGAGAGTAATGTCGATGAAGGAGGATCATCCTCGGGTGACCTCTGATTTTATATCAAAATTTGAAAAAAATCGGTCCAGTAGTTTTGGAGAAAATGCGCGGACGGCGGACGGACAAAAAAAATTGTATTCGTTTTTCGAACTCTACGCGTCTTGAAACGTAAACCTCAAATTTTGAAATGGGGTTATGTTTTTGAATTTTTAGGTCGATCACAATGTTTCATTATTGAAAATAATAAACCAAAAAAACCCTGAATATTAACACTATATCGCACACACTATAGACAAAAATATAGGACAATGCTAATAATTTAAAATAGAATAAATAAATGATGAAAACATGAGCCCAGGATAATATTTTCGACCAATGTCGCAAGCTCCCGAACATCAACAAGTTCTTCAACATCTAGAGGAAGCTCCCTGTTCTTTTTGGAATCGTTCCGTGAGACCCAAACCAGAGACCACTCACGGTGGACATTCACTCTCCGAAGGTCTCGCGGAACCTCTCTTTCAGGAAAGAGATACATTTATCATACATCAATACAAACAAAGAGGCAAACTTTCTTATTAACCACATTTTTGTCCATAATTTCGAAAGAAATAATTCGGTCAATAACAATGGCGTATCTAAGGGGAGGGCTTTCGGGGTAATAAAGCTAAATAAAGACCCCAACAATACAAATATATATATATATATATACTAAGTACAACACTGTAAAGCAGACAATTGTTTTCTGAAAACAATGATTAAATTTACTAAGGGCAATGATAAACTGGACTTTCAGGAGGTCTGATGTAACAAATGTAATTACAGTTTTCTCAAGAAAATATTTTCCATTTTACGATAGTGTACTTAGAAATTAATTATCTAGAACAAGTTTTGAGTAATTAATTCTGATTTAATAAAGACGTGACTACCTTAAGAAAAATACAAAATTGGTCTTAATACATCCGTTCTGTGCCTTCAAATAATTTTTTTTTTGAAAAGTTTGTCTACAATAACTCCTACCATCCCTAGAGTTTAGCTATTAAAAACTGAGACACCCTGTATATAGTTAAATAGATTATAGGAATATTTATTTTGAATTGATAAAAAGAAGTCTATATAAATTTTAATTAAATGTACTTAATTAAAAGATATTTAAATTAAATCATAAACTAAAAACTAAAAAAATAATTAGTGCTTCTTAATTAAATTTATCTTCTTAGTTATTAGTATGATTAATTTTTATTCTAGGTAATAACACTATTGAAACCCATAAATAAGTATTGTATAACAGGTATTGATATACAACTAATCCGCAAAAACTCCATTGACATAACACAAATAAATAAATGTCTATTTACGCCTAATTTACAAAACACCTAAAATTATCTATATAAAAAAAAAAGATTTTTTTATAATATAAATAATTCCAATTAAAAAAATATATATTTATCTTTCGTCTTAAAAAAATCTGGTGCGGTGTCCATCACACAACTTTCACTTATTAACTTAAAGTACAATCTTATAATATTAATGATGGTGAAGAAAAGTAGTTCTTTCAGAAAAATTCTGAGCTTTACCGAAAATATTCATCAGGAAACTTGTTGGAAAAAAGCATGTAATGATTGTATATTGCTGTGTTCCTGGACTTGGCTTTTCTACGGAGTGTAGGGGGTTCCAGGAACCGTATTTATTTCTATTAAATGTATTTAATACTTATATTTGTATTTATATCCCTTCTGGAACCGATTAACTGAAAAATATATGAATTGTGCATTTAAAGGTTAGATACCATAGACCCCCTAGTGTAGTATCCTAGATTGAATAATATACTTTTTATTTAATTTCTTTTCAAAAGGTATCGTGTTTAAAAATTTGCTATTTGTTTCTATAACTAATTGGTGGCATGCAAGGTAGATTGTAAAATTATCAAGATGGTGTAATAACTAATATATTTATAAGCTTAAACAAAACATATATGTATAATAATTATCAGAGAATCATATTAGAGCAGAATGCTATTTTAGATATGACTGATGATCTGTTGATTCTATTATTACTAATGATTGCCAACACAAGTTTGCATACGTATAACTAAATGAATGTTATGCCTTAGCTGCTTCTTCATGGTGAGGAGAGTTGCCGGTATCTCTCTTCTCCTGGCCCCTAGGCGAATCTCCTAGATTGACCGCCAGCTGCCTCATTGGACCTCCAGTCGATGTTCCACTCTCAGGTCATCTTCCTCAACTGTCCTATCTTCAACCTTTCTGTCATTCACCTCCCTTTTTTGTAATTTTCTCTCATTGGCTGAAATTTCGTAGCATAACGGATGACCACGCCTCCAGGCCGTACGGATGTTTCCTCTTTCTCGGTGGCGTTTCTGTTCCCTCCCTTGCTTAGACAAGTCTTCCGATCCTCTCCAAACATGCCCACTTAAGAGCGGTGTCGTTCCTTTGGTGTTTTATTGCCCCTCAGAAAAGGTTGCACTCCCTAGTGGGTCGCCACTCTCCTGCAGGTAATCGGACATGTGTTAACAATCATTATTTAGAATATATTTATACGTTTGCAATAATTAAATATATTCCAAGTGTGGTCCTTACAATACATAGCAATATATTGCAAATTATTAGGTAATTAGAAGTAGAGCCTCAACTTTTCGAGAGGAAATCTTCTTTAATTGTTATGATTAAGTCACATACACCAGTTAAACTAAAGAATAAGAAAGCTATGTTCAGAATGGTATCGGGTATAAGTAAATTGTGGAGGATCGGCATAGATCGGGTACTTTCGGCTGTTTCCGTATGCTATAGTTCCCATCTTAACCCTTATTTTCTTTTTAGTTAAAAAACACCTTTTTTTCATTGTTAATGTTTAATAATTTTTTATCACTAGTTACAATGGTTCTTTGTTTAAATTAACATAATTAATGGTACTTCAGATGAAGGGGTCCATTCTTGGAAATTCAGTTCAAATTAATCGAAAGGATATTTAGTTGATAAGTAAGGATATTTAGTTGATAACCTCTAATCCAATTGAAATCAATACATTTAAAATAACAGTGGAGTTTAATTAAATATATATTACTATTACGCATATTTTTTTTTTGTTTCCGGCCAGTAATAATTCACAAATATATTTATATTTAATCAGTAGTTGATAATATTCGATAAGAATTTTATCAGGTTTAGTTGGGCAGTAAATAGCAGTCTTCGGGATGTTCTTGTCGATCCTGTTCCTTCTTCTTTTCTTTTCTTCGACTTGCCAGGGTGGTTTGGATAAAGACGCTTTGGGCGGTATCCTCTACCAGCGGATGATCAACGTTCAAACAAGAAGATGCCAACCAGGATATCGTATCGTCAACGGCGTCTGCAGGAAGGCAGCTTTTATGAGATAACGAAGATGGTAAAATTTATGTTTATATTCGTATCAATTTATTTCACAATATTTAATCTATTCTTGAAAGATAATTCTTATCTCATACCAATGCTAAAGGCTTTATCATAAGAATAATCATTTATGACTGGTAAGGAATATTTCCCTTTTTTTTTCAACGTGGCCATCTTGGATTTTTTATCGATTGGATTTTATAATGAAATATTTACATTAACGTTATGTTCAATTATTTTTTATTTTTTTAAATTATTCAATTGTAAATAAATGTTCAGGTATAATTAAAGAAATCTGAATAGTGCAGTCGATTTTTTTTTAAAAATTCTTTAATTTTTATTTGTAAATATCTCTAAATATGTGTGGCCACCCACATGACTTTCAGAGAGATCTAAACCACTATCAATTTGAATATCAGGAAAAAAAATCACATTCAAAATGAGTTCATTAAATTCAATTGATTGTAAATTTTCCAATAACGACCCAATTTATTTTACTATTGAAGTAGGAAATTCAGTTTACTATTGATATTTAATCACACAATGGTAATAAAACGTGTAAAAAATCGAATAGTTTTTATCATTGTAATACTGGTTCAATTTTGACCACTTTTCCCCTGTTATTTTAGGGAATTCGATTATTTGTAAAAATATTGTATACTGAATTCACAAAAAATGTATACTTTTTAAATTATCCCCAACAAATTGTTATTTTTGTCATACCTTATATTTTGTTTGCTGTTTCTCGGGGATAGATTACATATATGAAACTAAGAATGACTTCAAGGTGTTTGTTAAATCATAATCGTTAAAACTGTTTTGACACTATAGGAAAACACGTTTTTACTTATTATATTCATCGCCAGGCGTTATGAGCCGACACTCTCCAAGACAAAAAACTACTTTGTTGTGTGATGGTAGACGGTCTATTTTATTTTTGCAATTTATAAATTTACTGTTAATTAATTAATAAATTAAACAATCTTGGCCTGGAATAGATGAGAAATTTCCTTCGTTCATTTATTCATTGCTGGGCTCTACAGTCCTTGAAGAAACATGGCCTCTGTTAACGTCTTCTTTCACATATCCCTGTTAGCAGCGAAACGGCTCCACCGCTTTACACAAATCTCCTTAAGACCTTCCACTTCGTCCAACCATCTGAGCTGCGGCTTCCACGCATTCTTCCATCTCCCGGCTTTCCATAGAGACGTTTTCTCGGCATTCTTGTAGCGTCCATCCTTTTCACCTGCGCCAGCCAACGCAATCTGCTGAGTTGAATGACTCTAAAAACGCCATGTTCATCATAAAGCTCTTTTAACTCTAACTCGGGTTGGACCTAATGCCCATTCAGCCACCACTTTGATTGGCCCATAAATTTTTCGGAGTACTTCCCTGTCCCATACATGGAGTATCCTTTTGCTTTCTTTAGTCATGGACCACGTCACGCTTTCATATGTCACAACAGCCCTCATAATCGTTTTATATATTTTACTTTTTGTTCTTATATATATATATATATATATATATATATATATATATATATATACATATATATATATATATACTAAAAAAGGCCAACTCCTTCAAATATCTCAAAAGTCATGACAATCTATGATTAAAACATTTGTTGATAAATAAATCTTACGATATCCAAGTGATTGAATAGAAAAAAAATGGATACGATGCTAAACACTGATTTTGAAAAGTAATATTCTTCATTGAAAATTATCTTATTTAAAATAAAATTATAATGAATTGGAATCCTGTATTATTTTCCCGACATTTCATTACTGATTTAGGTATACTTCAATAAACAAATTGAATTATCTTATATATTGTTTCTATTTAAGTTAGAAATGATATCCTCTATCGAATATTCATACTTCTTGCGGGGATTTATAATAGTTTTAAGACATGAGGGGGGAGGGGGAGGGGAGGGAGGGAAGCCAGTCAACCAACTGTTGAAAATGGAATTTTGGTTTTTCATCCACGGTTATGATGTATTACAGTAAAGAATCGGATTCATCTCCGAAGATATCTATTTTAGATACCTATCTATGTAATTTTAATTATAGTATTTACTTATCACAAATATACCTTATATGTTGTTTTTTTCAGACTTGATAAATTTGAAGCTACAGTAAAATAAAGGATCAAGGCAAGAAGAAAAAGATCAATCGATGAAGAAATAGAATGTGTAGTTATAATTAAAATAAATAATATTTAAAAAACGTTGTTAAATCCATTGCTTTAATATTTTAGCTTTCATAGTAGTTGTTCAGTTGCTAGTACTGCTAATAATAAGAAAGCGATAGCAAATAAGCTAAAATAAATAAATTGATTATATTTTCAATTATTGTTTATTATTTTCCTTCAAATATATATTAAAAAAAATGCTATTAAAATACAATGCTTTGGTATTTTATAATGTAAAATATTTAAGATGCCATTAGGAAATTGACTATTAATTAAAAAGTAAAAGGCTTTTTTTTTTATTTATTCATGATATTTACAACTGTATTAAAAAAAATTAAATACATTAAGTAAATTTGATAACAGAAAATAATAACATGAAATGACTTGTTGAGAAACTACCCACTGGTAGCACTCTAAAAACAAAATGTATTTACAATAAGAGATCTCGAGGCCATCTTCTTTTCAGACGCCTCGGAGGTTTATCAGGAATAGAAGAGGAAGCAAGGTTAGAGACGAGAGGATTCGGATGGTTCTGAAGTTTATTATGGAAGGATTGGTATCTGGATTGGGCCAAATCGGCAACATAAGGAACATTAAGGTCATTATAGATTATTTTATTGGTGACAAAGTAAGGAGCATTGAGGATTTTTCCGAAGGATTTTGGATTGTAAGGATTGGATACGAGAGGAATTCGATGGCTTAGTGGAGCACCAAAGCTCAACTCCGTAAGTCCAAATAGGTCTTATTGTAGTCATATATATATAAGTCTTTTGTAATTAACTGGAAGCTTAGAGCGTTTGTCTAGTAAGTGTTGTAGTAGTCGGAAACGTCGAGCAGTTTCTTGTCGTTTCAGTCTGGTATGAGGATTCCAAGTTAGACGTTTGTCCAAGCGATATCCAAGGTATCGGATTTGTTCAACAGGGACAAGTGGGGTATTATTGAAGGATACTGTAGGACATGAGGTCATAGGTTTACGTCTAAGGGTAAAGGTGATTTGATGGGATTTATTAGAATTTATTTTAATCCTCCAGTTTTAATACTACCTTGATGAACACCAGCAGACTGGGAAAAGAGGGATGAATAAGCATTATTGTGATTGACTTTTGAGTATTTATCACTTAGATAGGAACGGATAATGAGGAAGTATGTAGGATGTAGGAATTTACGGAGTTTGTAAAGTAGTCCCGGGTGCCAGACTCGATCAAAAGCCTGTTCTACATCGAGAAAGACTCCCGTGCAGTACATTCCGCGAAGTAAAAAGCTGAAAATAAATCCATGCCATTAATAATAAGAATATCTCTAATGGTAAATATATTAATTATAATTTCAATTAAATATTTATATTAATCTGTAAAGGGTCCATAAAGTTGGAAAGAAGCGGAAGCTAGTAGCTGCAAGTAGCGGTCAAAGTCCAGTCCACCCCATAAAAAAATAAATATAGAAAACCAGCAAATAGAAAAATATAGTTTAAAAGTAAAAACAATTATTTTGCGGGTAAGGTTTAAAACAAACAATATGACAAGAATTTTTATTTATATTTTTCGTTTCGCTTTATACCTCGAACTAATTTGAATACTGTAAAAAAACAAACAAACTTTTTCATTCTTGTAAATACGAATTTCTTGTTTTTATATAAGTTCTTGTTCAAATAGTTTAATATATGGTGACGAAATCGACCATTTTTGGGGAAAACCTTGTTTCATTCCTTTGAATACGAGAGAGGCAACTAAATAAATCTCTTGGTAATAGCTGAGACTCATTCCGAGTAAAAATGAACTTTAGGTCCCCCACCCTTACAAGTGTGGCGTTCTCCAGGGCTCTGTGCTCGCGCCGATTCTCTTCAATAAATACACTGGACAAATAGTTGGAACTAACATTGGCAATGTTCAAATCGCTGCTTACGCAATATATTCAGCAAGCATGAATGCGAAACAGGCAATGGGCCGAGCACAAAATGTAGCTCAACTCAGAGATATAAAAATCCTCATTAATAATAAAAAAATAAAATGAAAAAATAATTTTAAAAAAACGTACGCCATCACCTTCTCTTACAACAAAACACCAGGAAGACAATCAGAACTAACTGAACAAATTATCCAAGACATCTCATATACCTTGTCATAAAAATCGAATCAAGCCTATCAATCACAGGCCACATACAACACAGAATACACTCTGTAAAATCTACATCAAATCGACTACGACACTTACTCTATTCAACAGGAATGTCACTCAGATTTAAACTACTCATTTACAAAGCATTCCTCCGACCTCCACTCCTGCACAGTGCACCTATCCTCCTCTATTTCCCACAACCCTGAAGAAATGACAACAATATCAAAACAGTAGAAGATATGCAAAGGTATTTCACTTAAACGACGTAACATGACTTTAATACACAAATAACTAGAACTCGACACAGTCCTAGAACACAATAAAAAAAACACACTAAATTTTTCAACATTCCTTCCGTTAATCCATTATTTTGCTCTATCAAATCATCACCATTCCCAGCCAAACGGCAAGGTCATAAGAGCCCAATCATTTCAATCAATATAACCACATAATTCCATCTTATGGCTCTCCCCGTTCCTATCCACATCCCATCCTTATCCCCTCCCCATCACACTCCTATTAATTTATTTTATCGTTTTATTTATGTATTTTTATTATTTATTATTTTTATAATTATTGTTTATTATTTTTTTGAACTGCAATGAGCGGAATCCACCCCTTAACTCCTAAATCACAAACATAATCTACAGTCAGGAAAGTATATCAACCATTTTATGAAGCATCACCCCTTCAAATA